AGTAAATCACACCTGCCTTTTTTAAACAGATATTTCAAAAGCAAGAAACACACTATCCAAGTGGACTACATCAAATACATGGACGAAATTGCTGAACAAATAGGTTGTAAGCCTAACTTAATGAAGGTGATTTTTGAATTTATATTTGCTTCAGTTTTCTATGCATATATATTTCGTAAAATTGCATATTTTTTAGCTTTTTTGAATTAATTTTAGATTTAAACCTCTTCTTGCACCATTTCATCCATATTATCTGATCTGTACATGTTCCAGTACATGTTCATAGAGCCCAGTTTTTGCCTGCGATTGCTTATTAGTGCTAATGCACCGTATGTCTACCGACTTGAAGGCCCTGGATCTTGGGATAAAGCCAAGGAAACATTGATAAGCCTTCCTGAACGAGTCAAAATTCCACTGAAGAATAGAGAATGTCGCATGAAAAGATATAAAAGACGCGGAAGAATTGTAAGTTTGACAGAATCGATCATTATTTCTGTGGCAGAAAATGACAATGTTTTTTAGAACCTTAATTAACGAACTTCAATACATCAGGATGAAAGTAAAGCTTAGATACAGGAAATCTGTGTATTAAAATTACTGGTATTAATCAGATCGACCAGTGTAACTACAGAATGTTACAGGATGAGTATTTCCGATATGTATCCATGAAATGGCTCGCTGGATGGACGTGTGTAATACTTGTCACGGGCATTTGGGTATTCTGCTCTGGTTCTCATAATCTCACTACACTCACATATACCACAAATGTTGTCATCTTCCTAGTATTTTTTTCATTCATTTTATTATGGTTTGATTTACAATATGATATGTCCACAATCTTCTGAACAAATTTGGTGAGACAAAACTACGCTCCCAAACTTCCCCGAGCATTATATTAGATTTTGTTTCTTTAAAGTAAAAGCAATACCGTCGCTTCCTCTCTGCTGATTATCTGCATTAGCACTGTTCAATGAACAATACTCCACGTCTCCTGACTTCGTAACCACGTCTTTCATGAATAAATGCTGTCTTATATCTTACTTATAGTTCATGATGAAATTTTACTCTTCACTGTCTCAGACCTGAACATTTTCCTACTCTTACCTCTTTTTTTTCCTGTTGGGCACTAATAAATTTTATTTACGGAGAAAAAAGCAAATCTCTAGTTGACAGAAGTACTTATCCCTGATACCATATATATGTATTTTGCACAAGTAATTCTTGTATTTTTATGAAACAAATATTTTAAAGCCGAGCACAATGAATTTATGAGTGTTCCATACCTACAAAAAAGCTTACCCCAGCTTGTCCTTTGTTGTTGCTTCATTCCTAATCTCAATTCCTGGAAAAACTAATACTTAATCTACAGATGAAGTGACTTGAAGATCAATTACAGCCTAAATGTGCATTTGAAAAATTGTATGGTATTAAAAACCCGACTTTTGTAAAACACATCTTTGTCAATCCATTCTTTTCCTTTCGCGAGAAATATTTTGTGAAAATGATGATGATAATAAAAAAAACAATATATAGTTAACACAACATAAAACAATTTATTTACGCAATTGGTGAAATGTAATTTTTAAATTACATTAAAAAGAATTAAATTTTTAAATTACAGATATGGACAAACAATTTTAGCACTGTACAAAACCCGTACTTCTTTAGCGATCACTAGCTACAGTGACACAGCAGCGCGTAACTTTGCGAGACAGAAATAACATTTCTTGGCTGTGACTCACTGGGTGTTATGCTTTTGTTACCTTCAACTGATTATATCAATGCCACATATCGACTCAAACAATACGTGGAAGCAGTCATCAACGACTTTCCGTTTTTGTAATTGTATAATAATCAAGGACTTTATGACAAACCTGAAATCATTTCAAATCTGTTGTCTTAATCTGTTGTTTTCACTAAGACTAAGTAGGTCAGTTTAATTAACTAGTATAACACTCTCATGACACAAGGTCGCATGCCAGTACGGTTATTAGTCAAAAATTCCGTTAATCCATCTCTGTCTGTCATAAGTGGTTTGAATTGGGATCTTAGCAAAGTAATATAACATTTTCGAATGTTTCGACTATCCAGGAATAAGTACTGTCATATTTAGCAGTCAAAAATATTTCAATATTAGGCTATTATTCATGTACTTCTAGTACGTATTCACAATGATGAAAAACTCTATATTGTTTCAAAGAAGTGATAGTTTTAGGCGAATTTAGGCGTTGACAACACAACAGCAATAAGATAAACGACAGTCATCGGGATCTATGAAAAGTATCAAAAAAAAAAACTAACATCCTCCATCATATCAGAAGTCAAATTGGCAACGAACTGATCCCACCACTGTTCACCTGACTGTCTATCAACCCAGTCACAGTTATCCAGTTTCGTCATTTTCAAAGCCATATATATCAGCGAAATGGCAATTACCTGAACAGTTATCGTAGAAAACACTCCTGTTCCTTCTCAAATAATTCAGTGATTCAAAGGTAGTGTAAAACATTGTAGTTATTCAAGTCTTGCAATACCCATTGTTGAGAATTTTTTTCCTACACATTTCAGTAACTGCAAAAACCAATTGCATTTCCTATTGCTATCTTCCAATATTACTTCAGCTAACAGCATATCTGAACCGTCACTACATTTTAAAATACACGAGCATCATGGCAAATAACTGATTCCATTGATGAATTAAACTATTTAACAATACCACCAAACTACAACAAAATGGGCTCCTACTTCCGGTTCCCACATAAGACATAACGTTGTTGATATCGAATCATTGACAAATGTCCATGCATTTTGCAGTACCGTCTGCTTTTTCTCCCGATCCAACTTGAAAACCTTAAAACTTTACTGAGAAATCACTGGATTTCAATAAGTAATCTTAGAAATTAACAGTAAAGAAATCAGAAAGCATATTCTTAAGATATTTTGTGGCCGACAGAGCATTAAATTAAGTTTCAATTTCCGGAAAATTGACCCTCTGATATTGCAGGAGAAACGTATATGGATGATCCACATGAAGATCGAACTTAATTGTTTGCAGTAGAACTCGTTCGATACCCATCACCTCCTCCTGAAATTTAGTGTTTAGGTCAAGTTATATATTGGTATGAACCAAACATGTTCAATATATCTTACAAAAACTTAATGCCACATTCTTTGTGATCATAATGTTTATTCTGCTCGTGTTATAGTCTTTAAGCACTTACAATTGCATTTTTCATACTGTACAAGTCAGGGTACTTTTCTTTCGCAATCAACACAATGTCCCTGCATTTCTTTGGTGTCTCTTCAACCTTCCCGGCCAAAAATAGACAACCTAAGGCAGTCAGCTGAAATGAACTACTATATTTAAGATGTGGTTGATCCATCCCACTGATTTTGGCACTGGTTCTGTTGAGAACCATACCCATTACTTCAACTTACAAAATACATTTTCACATGCCTTGAAAAGTATACAAAAGCGTACTGGGAACTAAAATGTGCTTCACATTTTAAACTACATCATCATTCAACAAATAAATTTCTCATCCCTTGGTTTACACGATAAAAATATTAGGCAAAAGATTTAGAATGAAGAAAGGATAAAACAAACTGCTCTCGATTCGTTTAAAGATGGAAATGATAAAAATCAGAAGACATTAAAGGTTGTCTAATTCTGCAGAAATAATCCTTAGTAACATAGAAAAGAAATGCAAAACACCTACATGTTTCTGGAATTCTTTGAAAGAATGAAACATGTAGAAACGATGAAAATAAACAGCTGCCGTTGCTAGTGTTGGATTTGGCTGCCTGAAACAAACAACCTTCCAAAGCAAAAGCCTTTGTTATAAATTTTTTATGAAACCTTTGTTATAAATTATAAATTTCAAATTGAAATGAACTATCCTGCATTGTATGAGAAATGAATGAAGTGGTTGATAAGTTAGACCATCCAAATAAAATCCGATCTTTCAAAACAGGATTTCGTGAACTATGAATCTTACAAACCATACGGATGCATAGAATTCATCGGTATCATTTGAACATATGCAAAACATCTTCATAGAGTTTTAAATTACAATTTTAAACCACTGCCAATCTCGACAATAAGCTTGATTCCCTCTCTTCGCAGCTTATCTTCCTCGACACGATCAACTCCATCTCTTCTAGACGGTGTATTTGCAAGTTGTTCTTCCGTAAAAAGCCAGTCGCGACCCATTTTAATTGTTGGCTGACATTCGGAAATTTACACACATTTAAAGCATTTTAAGCTTGGAGAACAGCAAATTTACAGACATTTTAAGCATTTTACGTTTAGTCTTCCCACCTGGTAGGTAAAAGTCTCGCAAGAGCCAAGTATCCTTTGGGCAAATCTAAGATCGCCAATGCTTCTGAAGGGTGATACTAAACCAACTAGGGTCCTTCTTTACCTTCTTTCTTTCGGGTCCTTCTTTCCTTAGTTATCATATCACAGGTAATTACCGACAATGGACTTTGGTAGACCAACACGTATGGTTTTAAGCACGACTCATACTGACTTCCTACTGATTTCTACTCTTCCCTTCTATCTAATTTTATGAATTCAATTCTGATTTTAAATAATAATTGAAAACTCCGGAATTAATCCAATTACAAAAAGATTAAACCAACCAAAGCTACTTTTTGTCGAAAAGAGGAGGAGAAAATGGTGGGAAGCGTTACTGGAAGTAAAGCAACTTCAACCTTTTCTCACTATGGATCCACTCCTACGAAAAAAATAACCGTTGATGCTTATTCCCAAAAGAAAACGAACAAGCCAAATCCACAGCAAATTTCAGAACACTTTCTTAACGAGCTGCGTTAGAGTCGGACTCCAAATTATTTTGACAACGGGCGTTGCTGCAGTTCTGGTTTGTTGTGGGGCGCTAAATTCTTCCCTGAGATACGTGGAGAAGTGAGTTACGTTGCTGAAACAAGTTGTTCTGGATTACGAATCATATCTTGTTATTGGAAAGAAATATTCTAAAATCTAAAGATCAAGCAAGTTGTATTGTTACTGGTAGTATTTAATTTGAGAATCAGGAAGCAGTATATTATCTGAAATATATTTTACTTATTGGTGCACTATTTATTGTTACAAATACTATTATAATTTATTATTATGTAAGTGATATGTTATTGGTGATATATCATTAAATGTCATTATCACTCATCCATTATGTACTGTTATCTTTGCACAGATGTTATTGTTGTCACCTGTTAGTAACAGCCCCATCGCCTGCTACAGTATAATCATAATTCGTTTTAACAAGTAATAACATAACTTGCTATCATAAAATGCATGTGTATATAATTTAGTAGTCTGGAATGTATAAAGTGGGTCATTCGTCGTCAGTGCCACGTTCAACGTTGGTTTACAGTGGACGTCGAAATGTGCCCGCTCGATCAGGAATTTGTTAGTCGTTTTTGCTTCTTGAAGTGATTGTAAAGTTTTACCTTTTAAAAAATGCTTGTATTCTTTTCGCTTTTCCAGTTTTCGTTTAAATGTATTTGCCTTTTTTCTGAATGTTGAGGTAAGTTATTAGTAAGTCTAGTATGTGGGTTGAACCGGTAGGAGCATTGCTTGTCATCCTTAAAGAAAATTTTCTTAACTACCACAACCTGAGCAATTTAACAGTTTGACAACTTTCCTTACCTATACTGATGATTACTTAAGCAAGAATATTTTTAGATGAACGAACACTGAATCAGTATGGTGTCGAGAACGAAAAATCTTGCAGAAATGAGATGTATGTTGTTTACAGAAATATTCTATAATCATAAGATTTCAGAAATATGACTGGAATTTTGCTCGGTAGACAAAAAATTTATAAAAGATTGTTTGTCTAGGCTTACTGGTTATCTGTTTACCAGGAGTAATTATACATTTTGTGTGGAACATTGTCGGTAGTAGCGATATTGTATGCTAGCTACAGTGATTTGAAAATTTATCTTCCGTTATTTGGAATGAAATGGAGCTTCAATATTTTATACATATTCTCTGAATTTACATCAGAAAAATTACTGTTCCAGGAATGTGCAAATCCCGGCATTATCTAAACGAAATTATAGTCGTATGTCACCAGATGTTACAAAACATATAAATATGGAAACGGTGTCGGTTTTAATGAAAGGTTAGTGTCAAACGGAAGAAATGGAATGTACCACCGGAAAAAGAAGGAGAAATGGAATGTATTATCGGTGTCATCCATTTTTTTCCTTCCTCTTTTATTAAAAGGTTATTAATATTGCACTGAGAAGTTTTTGTTCATTCTGTGATTGTTGCTTTTCAGCAACTGAAGAATTTCTTCATACTCCTGATGGCCGTCCCGATAAAACCATCGAGCATTACCAACCAAAGAGGTCGTTGCCAGAAGGTCATTTTTCTGATTGGTTTTCAGAAGTAGTTGCGCCAGGCACATATTCCTTGGAATTAGTTACCTGTAGTGGTACTAATGTTCTAAATAGCTGACTTCTAATTAAGTTACTTCAGACACTTCATAAATGTTTAATGGTATCAATATTCAGTGAAACGAAGGTGAATAGTTGAGTAATGGTTGTTGTAGAGCTCAACAAGTGACCACTGCAACTACTGTCACCCGTTCCGTGGTGGCAAAAAAGGCTGTTAGAAATTGCGTTTAATACTAGCAGTAGATGTCAGTATCGTTGAAAGGTCTATTTGAATAGCACCTCTCAAAGGTCATTCCATTCCTCACAGTTCATTTCTTTTTTTTGTAGAACGAAGCATCATATTATATTAATTTCTCTTACATTTACTTTCTGATAACACTTGTAGACCGAATTTTTGCTAAGGATCAACAATTTTGTTCATTAAGAGGATTTGTTTTAGATTTCGCACCCTTCGATGTTGACGGTTACTTAACGGAGCGTTTTCTAAGAGATGTTAACTTAGATCCAAAAATCTTAAATGGTTTTTGTAAATAGATGTCACCATGGACTGTTGCACCTACTGCAGCTACTCACGTCCTTCAGTGGAGTTGCCTACGGAGAAAATATATCATCATTTTAATGAAAATATTAAATTGTAAATCACAGTTGCTGTTTCGTTTAATTTTATATGAACAACATTGTTTGATTTTAATCACCTGTGTTTGTAACTGAGACTATAATTGTTAACTATTAATTAGGTATGGAGATATGCCTCATGATTTTGCAGCCGGTTGCTCAATTTTCTGGTTTCTTTTTATTCTTCTCTCGTACTCTTCATTTTCTATTGTTTGATTTTTTAACTTTGCAATGATCTCATGCTAATCATAAAGCATTTTTTTAATGCATGTATAACGTGTACCTAGACTTATAATAACGCTACGCAACATAAGGTCGAATTACACCATGTTTTGCACAATTATCTCATTCTACTGATGGATACCTACTTTAATGTATTTGTAAAAGATGTTAAATTCATTCAAAGATTACTGCATCCACAGTGATGCGCTGCGATTTGAGTGAGACATACAGTTTGATCTTGAAGATGATACCAGAATTTAGAAGACCTGACATTCGCCAAACAATAATCGCGGTAGCTGGCGTTTCATAACTGATCTTGTTTTTTATTGATTTCAGTGCAATGGAGGTTGAATTTAACAAAGGTGAAACAGAGGTCATGTATTGGAGGTTCTGGTTTTATCTGGTAGGTTCGTAATAAATTTCATGTAATATGCTGTTGTAGAGTCAAAAAACATTGGTGTCTTTTTGCTTTGGGACGGTGATAGTCACTGTACTCATCAAATGTTTAGAACTATTTGAAACAATGTCAATTGAGAAACTCGGTTGGAAACTGGTTTAAACAAAGTTACACGCAACGTTTGAGTTGGAATGTGTGTTTCGTTATTCCAAATACTTTTTTCCAAGGCTGGAAGGTTTTGGTAGGAATGAAACAAGTTCTTTTATATTCAGCCTCATTCCTAGAAATGGTCTAAAATCGAGCAAATATGTGGACTAACCAAGAGGTCGATGAATTTTGCAAAAATATAGCCGCATGTGTCTCATGGAGATCTATTCGGTTTTTTAGCTCTTTCAAGAGTAGATTAATATGATTATCAACAAAAATCTTCAAGGAAGAGTTCCGTTTTTCTGTATAATAAAAATCATATTCCCGTAAAGTTTCACCGAATGGGTGGAAGTTCGACAGTTGAATATGTCATTCTCTCACTTTATATATATCATTCTCTCACTTTTGTTCTCCAATTTGACCTTCCGCTTTTGTAATTTCAGATGCCAGGATCCTGTCACCTAGACAGTTTACTTTTTCTATCTAAATTTAAAAAAAAAAGAGGTAATTTCGGCATTTAGATTAATGACAAGTTAAGTCAATCTCCATGATAACAACAGTACTGTCCTGCTCATCAGAAGAAATCCAACAACATTATCTAAAGAAGGTTGAAGCCATCGATTACACGAAGGTTTTGGTTCACATCTCGCCGTTTCGCCAGATTCTTTCAGTGTTTGGTTTTCTTCATGAAGCGTGCAATTTTCCGCTTGCACCTTAATAACGCTTCTGTCTGCGTTTCTTAATTTTTCTTCACAGCTGTCTAGCTTATCTTCCACTACCTTTTTCTCTTCCTGAAATAATTAAAAATATTGTCTAAAAATAATATAAATGAAATGATTTGACATGTTTTAAAATGAGTTTCCAGCTTCCGCTAGAACAGCTAGAACCCTGCGGTAGTTCTCAGCTTCCAAAATTGTCAGTACAAAAATATCCACTCACAAGGGAACTTACGAAAGACTTACTTCTCGATGATTCCTTTAAAGTTACGATTCGTGAGTTCGAGTGGAACTCTCCTTATATAGTTCCGCAATCGCCTTATTTTTAGGTCGTTTTGAAATTCAACACTTTTTAATTGTATCATATGATTTTGTTTTAATTTCTCCAAGTGTCCAAGTGTCTGCGCCTCTTTCACTTTTCGAATCTTAAACTTACAAATATAGGATTCACTTCAAACTGCGAACTGTAATTGAAAATTGGGTTAAAATACCAATATGAACCAATATGAATATGATTGGGTTAAAATACCAATATGTGTTATTTTTAAGACTTACGGCCGCGTGTTTTTCATCTTTCATGTTTTTCCGAAATAATTTCGTGCCTGCAACAGTTTTCTGGATCGCTAACCATATTGAATAGCGGACTGCAAAATATAAAAGTGCTTAACAATACCACGTAAATTCCTTTTAACGAGATTGGAATCATCTCTCTGGATCTGCAAATCTTGTTGGCTTTCCTCTTCGCAGTTCCAAGTCCAACATCGATTCTTCGTAGCACGAACTGTATTGGGTTATTGTAACTCGTATGCCACCTTATCGCTCTTCATTTCTGTCTCTATCAGAAAAGCCTTTACCCTCAAAACTAACAATTATAGGCAACTTACTTTATCCTCTATGAACCAATCCCCTTTGATTTCGCCATCTTCATATGGATTTGCTGGCAACCGAGGTATGCTTTCAGTTAAACGTGAGCTAGACTCATATTTTGCATACAAAATGAAACTGAAGGTGGTATCACCAGGAAATGAGATAGAGTGAGTCATTATTGGGAAATATATTTAATATTTTAAAATTGCACATAAACTCATTTCATATAGCTACGACTAAATTTTTCGGTCGACAACTGAGATGACAACTAAGGTTTCTTGCCAACTGTATGGGTAGTTATGATTAGAGGCCATCGAGCGTTCGTTCATTTATAATCAATTTTAACTCCGTATAAAATCCACCACGAAGGACATAAATTCTGTTTTCTTCCATGTGTCTAGTATTATTATCTGTAACTAATCATATAGCAGAATTTATTTCCATAAAACTCGCCATCAATTGACTGAGAGTAGATAGGACAGAGTTTAGGTTGCCGAGACTGCAAGTACAACACCTGTTGAACAGTCATCGCCGACAACACAAGTTTCCATAACAGGAGAAAGGAAAAGCGGGTCGGTAAGCTTCAAATGTATTAAAGATATGTTGGAAGAATATCTCTTGATTGTCTAAGTTTTAAAATCAGTTAAAGGCTCTAAATTTCATATTTAACCTGTTATTTCTTCGCTGAAGAAGTGAGGTAATATCAAGCAGGTTGGGGACTTGAACATTTTAAACACACTTGAAAATAAATCTTCCATTGGTTTTACTAGACAAAGCGGTCACGGACCAAATCATCAGGTTCTAAACGGCGAAGAAAAAAGAAGAGGGAAACACCACCGGAAGGATTCGACCAGTGGCCAGAAGCGGATCAGAAATATTATCAGGTACTTGAGTGCCACAGAAGATTCAAAAAATTTTCACCGATAAAAACTATAACATAAAATTAACAAGAGAAATTAACTCTTCCATTAAGTACTTTGACTCGTATATTAATGATTAAAGGATATTTCGGCTCTTTTGCGCGATTCCAAAGCAACGAGGAAACAATGTAGCTTCACCAGACACAAAATCGGAGCCTGGAAATCTCTTAAAGTAAAACTGTTTCCTTATCTCTTATCATCTCTCAACTTGGAAATATTCCAATCTTCATTTGAATGTGCTTACACATTTATGCTTGCAAACCCTTGTACATGATGCCATCCTTAAGATCTTCAAATTTTGGAGACAAGTTTTGAAACACTGAACCCAGCTTAATATAATCTGATTCAAAGGCAAGCAATTTCAGCTTCGCTGGGCTTATCACCCAACACATCATACTGAAGTGAATGCTTATAAGAAAGCACTAAAGGAAGTGAAACCACTAGAAAAAACCGAAAATCTCGATATCGATTTCTAATTTTCAAATAAAAGTAGCCACTCACACTATTCCATTCTGAATAAAGCCAAGAAATGCCGAAACTCCCAAATATTCAGTAACTGTGAAAGACGACTGGTTCTGTTTGACCAACCTGACCATCCAGTTCAAATTTATGTTTTTTCTGAACTGTTTGTGGAATGAGGCACATAAAAGCACAATCAGCAACAAAAACTTCACAATTATCAGAAACAAGTTTAAGAGCGTTATGATTTGAACTAGATACTCAGTGATGGTTCGGATGCTGTAAAATACCAGTTGAGAATCAATTTCAGCGGAAAGTGATATTCTTGAAAGACAAAACAAGACAAACTCTCGCAATATATTCAAGTTGGATTTTTCACAGTAGATGGATATAAAACTGAGAGCACGTCTTAGTTTAACAAAATTATGTCATTTCCAAGCAAAATATTGGCGAGACAACACAAGGAAGTGTAAAGTTTGTAGTTTACATTCAAAAAATTAGATATTCATGAAAAAACCAAAAAATATCATGATTGTATGCCCTCCACAGGTTCTGTTGCATTACCAAGCATTGTATATGCCTGCACATCAGAAAGACTCTCACATTCGGTGGTTCTAGCACGTTTTCTCGGAGTAATCTTTGATTGGTCTGTGACTTCTGACATATCTTCCTTTTCGTCCTTTTCAGTATTAGCAATATGAGACGGCAGTGAATTGTCTCTTCGAGATCTGTAAAAACGAATGCAGTGGGTTGACAACTAATTCATTGGTTACTTCTGATAAAATAAATTTTACAAATTAATTAACCGTCCGTTGTCCACAGTCTTCCCAGTGTTCATGTAACTTGCCAATTTTTATAAAACAAATTAGATAATTCTGAGGTCGAAAAGTTAACAAATTAAGTTGAAATGGATAGAAAAGATAACAGTGGGACACGATTACTAACACGAAAGATTAAGCAGAGTTACTATCGAAAGAATAAGGTGGAGTTAACCTTTACTATCGAATGTTTGTTTTTTTTCTTTTTTTAAATGTTCCTGTTTTTATGATTCGAATGGTTCCATGAACTAATGAAGATTAATTTTTCCAGCAGATGGCAAAAAAGAAGCAAAAAGATGTAACAATAGTACTGCTTCTGGAAAGTCTTACATCTTGAACGGCCTTTATTTTTTCTGTCGTTCTATGCCGACACTGACGAGATATCATTTTTGATGAGCTTCATAAATTCATTATCACCCGGAAAAGTAACGGAATAAAATCAAAGATGAAAAGCAGAAGTCTGTTTGAAATGTCCCATTTAAAAAAATCCTCTAAAAATCTAGAAAAATAAGTATCCTATATATACTACTATTACAAAAAAGAATTAAATCATCCACAACAAAGAACAATAAAAAGTCTTTGAGAAAAAAAAAGAAGTAAAAATGTTTTGGGACTATGCTCAAGTCACTTTATTTTTTCAAGATTGTGAAAAGTGAAATCTTCACAGTTTTAAGCAGCAAGAAACCTATCAATGGAAAAATTAAAAATGGATCGAGTGTGAAAGGTAGAAAAGAGGGGGAATTCAACTAGATTCGAGAAACTAAATCCAGTGTATCCTGATAATTATGAAGACCATACAATCCTGATAATTATGGAAGCTATTCTTTATATCGATAATTAGTGAGGATTTGTTATTTTAGTGAAAATAGAGCCCAATAAAATATGTAAATCATCAAATTCTTCATAGTAATCTTTTAGCGTAAAAATAAGGCCTAAGGAAATATGTAAATCATCTAATTCTTCACAGTTATCTTTTAGTGACAAAGAGAAATAATCACTTGAAAATAGCCAACGACTTTGTCCTTCGTGGCTCTGGAATAGGCGTAGTTTCCAGACTTCGGCTTAACTCATCCCAGTGGGACATTAGATCTGATATGGTGAAACCTTTGTTTGATGCTGTTTGATGAAGAACATCTAGAAAACTATGATTATACGCATGATTATCTAAAAATACAAGAAGTAGAAGAAAATCGAGGAAATTCGTGATAAAAGGAAATTGTTGTGGTGCGAAAAATTGTTGCCAAATTCCATATTTCTGCTAAATATATTCTTCATGAATTTTCTGAAGAACCGAATAGAGTACAGGAATGGCAAAAAGATTTGCAGTCACGGATTTGAAAATTCAAAGTAATAAACTCACCGCTGAAATCAATTAAACTTATTCGCGGTGAATTCGGAGCACTTTTACTTCTCATCATCAACACCCTTTTTCGGAAAATTTCACATTCCGCTTTTTCCTGAAGTTTGCGGTAATGTTTTACATGTCCACATGCTTTCCCAAGCACAACGATACCATTTACTATTTTCAGTGACAATAACAATATCCATGTGAAACCTGGAATTGCTCTAAACTCCACCTGACTATATGCATCATCGAGTTCAAAGTGCGATTAAAGAAAGCTAAGCAAATGAAGCAGTGAAAGCTTAATTTTTAAAAACAAACAAAAAGTTGAAGTCGTTGGCAGCTAACAACCGTGAACTAAATAGTTTGGTTTAGCACGAATTATTATTTTGAGAAATGACCGCGGCGGATTTACAACCTATTTATTAAGAAAGGGGGCGAAACCGAATATAAACATTCAAAATTGAATACCTATGCTAAAAATAATCAAAAATTTAATAAACACTGTAGTCAAGAAATTCAAATCCATCCAAAAACACTAACGAAATTGAAACTGGATAGGTACTACAGCTTGCAATCACAAATAACTCACAAAAAACAAGCTGAACAGATGTAATGGTGAAATCAAATGTTTGAGTAATAACGCGTATCAGCATAATTGTTAATGGAATAGGTATAAAACCCATTCGTCTTGATACCTGATCCGAATAATCTGAAAAGGCTTTCTCGCCACGACTTCGAACAACATCGAAAGCAATCGTTATTGTAAAATCTGAAAAGTACATTCATCAATGTAATTTTTCACAATCTTAAACTTCAAATTGCTAAATCCACTTCTAATTTTTTCCTTTTATATTTTAACTACTGCTTAATAGTTACCAAAAATTTAAACGAATTCGGATCAAAGACAACTGGGCCAACTAAGTGGGCGAAATATGGAGTGAAGAACTTGGCTGACCTGAAAAAGTTACATTAATCAATACCTTGATATACCTCCGCTGGTATTTCGTTAAACTTAGTGATAAAGGCGTGTTTTAACCAATCAACGATTATTTCAGCAATTGTCACCAAGGCCTAAAAATGCTGAAGTATACACTCAAAACTGCTTTCAAAGATGCCCCCACTTTTTCAAATCAAAAAATACGATGTTTACGAGTCTAAAAAGAATGATAAACAAATGCGAACAAACAAGGTCTGGCAACATTTCCACGAAATGTTCGAATTTCCAATTCACAGCCATCATATTTCGCACAACCACAACTGTTAATAAAGTAAGAATATGAAAGCGTTCACGAACATCACTGGAAATTTGCTTTTTTTAAAGTTCTAAACAATAAAAGCACTCATTATTAATAATCAGTATGATTTTTGATTTTCATCGCCATCGATATTTCGACCGCTAACAGTACTACACATACATCCATATTGATAAGTGTAAGCAATATTTTTAACTACTTCACCAAATAAACCATGAAGCATGAAATATAGAAACTACAAATCTGAGAATGGAAAACAGAAATTCTGTAAAACAATACCTGCAAGACATCTGGAAAAGGTTTGCCTTGGCGAATTTTTTGAAAACCGATCCTTTTAGTTCAACAAAATTATTGGACATCATTATTGCGAGCAGTGCCTGCGTATGTGAATTAAAAGCAACATTCAAAGTTGTAGCCTGAAATTTTGCTAAACACATATTTCTCATGAATATTAATGACATTAAGGGTGAGTGCACGGTTATAGTATTAAAGTAGTTGAAAATAATACCGTACATCTTTTTTCATTAGTTTAATAATATAAAAATTTATAAATACTTAGTATACCTGCAATAAGACGAGTATTGTATGTAGCCAAGTGTAAATAATTGCAATAAATAAGTGCACAAACATCCGTACATAACTTGATGACGAATGCGTACTTGACCAAAACAAGGCATCAAAAATATCCTATAATTCATACTTTTGAATGAAATTGAAAGTGTACCATACTCCTGGTAACGAACTGCAAAAGTGAGTAAACAGGAAAACACAGACCTGACCAAAACTGCTAAATAACTTGTCGGCTACTTCGAGCATATTATAAAAAATATAAAGCTTAATTACACCTTGTCCTCGAACCTGAAACTATGTCTTGGAAGAGGATCAGCTGACAACACTTTTTACTTGTTTTTTAACCCATCAAATTCAAAATCGAAACGATAAAAACTATCAACTGCATATAATGTAAAAGAATAAATCAGTGAAATGTAGATAACCAGGAAGATACTGTCATGATTTTTTTTTTTTAAACCATGTAGTCACCTTGTATAATTTAGAAAGAGATGAAAAACAGTGAGTAATGTTATATTTTCACAAAATTTAAATACATAATTTCCGAACAATCGAAACTACGTCATTGAGAAATTCCCGAAAGACGGAAATATAACCTGGTGATACATTACTGATGTATCAATCAAAGTCATGAGATATGAACAAACTGCCACAATAAAAGCTTTCAAAAAATCACAAGTACTGGATGCGGTCCATTTTTTTGAGCATAATAACGAACCAACGACGGACGTCTGCAACTAGTAATATTTGATTTTGAATTCAACTTTTCATTTCATACTATACATATCCTGGTGGATTACTCTTAATTCCAGTCTTTTTTCCAATAAATTAAAGCATTAAATCTCATCTATAGATCTTGCAAGCTGTATTTAGTACTGTTCGGATTTCGCCCATTCATCTAAATGAGATTACTATTCGATCATGATAAGCTCAGTGTGTAAAGAGGTGCTGCGCTTCAAAAATCCTTCGGGAAAAGTCTTACCAATAGACGAATTGGTAGAAAAGTAGACAAGTGGCAAAAAGCTTCCAAACACTGCAATGTACCATAAAACAAGAATTTCTCTAACTCAACTGGTATCCTCAGAAACGCACTTATTTTCTTCTGTTTTTCCGCATAACGTAATTCATCGTTATCAAGTGAATATCCTCTAGAAGAAATCAGCGTGTGAAATTTCGATTAAGCCAACTTATGCCGTGTGAAATTTCGATTAAGCCGTAGTAATTGGTATGCCAGGACTGCGGAAATTTGGTTAAAACCCAAAATTATTCATCTACCCATACTACGTACTAGAAAAGGAACAACTTCAGATGAGCAGATTGAAGCTAACCTCGTAAGTTCACCTCTTATGTAGTCCCAAAAACTTGGCACGCACAGGCATTCCCCATTACTATGTTCTTCCCAAGGACATGGTGATATATCCGAGATTCCATCTTGCGCTTCTTCCTTAAATCGATCAACAACATCTGGTTCCTCTAGTTCACTGCTGTCTTCATCAATACCAACATTTGTTTTCACTTTCCGAAAGCGAATTCCTTCACCGGTATGAAAATTCATTTCCATATCTGTGTGAACAACGTATCACAATTACAATATTGAGAAATCAATCATTCATCAGTACTTCCAACTATCCGACTTGACTACAATTTTTATAACAATAATATAAATGGAGAAGTAAGTCACCAGTGCTATTTTTCTACCAATAATCTTAAAAAAAAGAGTCTGTCGAGTCTTTATCTTCCCATATGCCATCAGAGATTTAGTTTGTCGAAAAAAATGAAAATAAACGAGTCGCAAAAAAGCGGAAATGGTGTGGGTATTAAAAATGAAACTAAAATTTGTGCATCTAGCAATTATCTAGCCAACACTGCTCGGTGATATTGAACTTAATGCGTTTACTATACAGTCTGTATTAATATAGAGATATGAAAAGATTGCTGAAACTTTTCTGGACGACCTGGTCTGAAAAAAAAAAACCAACATAGAGCACATAGAACCAACATCCGAAAAGACAATTATCATCAAAGAATATTACGTTAAAAACAAAAAATAACTAGTTTTGAATAATTATAACAGATGGCTAATCAATGAAAGACTGACTTTATCATTTAACACTTTATCTTCCGTTTATTCTCAACCTAAAAATCTTCCCTCTTAGAATCATTTGCGAACCACTTCCCACACACTAGCATGCATTTCGACCGCAGGCAACTTGAGCACAAACCTCTGCCCACAAAGTGGTCAGTTGGCTCTCTCTGCAACTTGTCATTTGAAACTCTCCAAAATATCGTTATATTTCTTGACGGTTCCTTAGGTTTTTAGAATGATTTGCGGGGGATGGGTGGATATGAGTGGGCCAAATTTTGGGCTTATTTTGAAGCTTTTGTTCAACTATAGGGCGCAACGCATCGCTTTCCGTAATTTTTTCGGGAATACCATAAAGCCTAAAATTTAACAGCCTTATTGGCGTGCTTTAAAAAATTGGCTTTGGTTCTGCTCGTAGTGTCAAACGCTGAATGAACAAGCCATGTTCTCATAACTTTTGCATGTCTAAAATAGGATTCATGAAGTATTGAATCTGTGTAATTTTGGAATCTTTTTCTTTGGGAAAAAACTGTAACTGTAACGTCTAATAAGTTATTTGGGAAAAAGCATGAAATATTTCTACCGGGAGACGTGAAATAGTAGTAAGTTATTTTCACCTGTAATATCTAACTAAGGGTTACATTTACACAAAAGCATAGTTGGACAAGTATCCATCCAATATTGAAAAGAGCAGAAAGATCGAGAAAACCTACATAACTTATTAAGAAAGCACTAAATGGGAATTGACTGTCTTGACAAATAACACGTACAAACGAATTTCGAAATCTCGTACTCCAAACTTTATTGAGTAATATTATAATTATATTGGAAAAAGTAACTATCAATGCGCTTATCAGTGAGACAAAAAGGGAAAAACAATTGACTGAAAAGTTTTGCCTGTGAACTTCATTTTTCAAAACGAAAAATTAAAATATGCAGATTTCGAAAACATTAATCGTTTCAAACATTGCACTTTTAAACAATAACTAAACTCAAATAATCTGCCAAAATTATTATTATGCCGAAATTTTCAAGACTTTACCAGATGAATGAGCATTAAAATAAGTGAAAAACTGGGAAAGCAGAAGAAATTCGCTTATCAAAAAACATTGTCTTTCCTTGCTGATATGGACTCAATACCTGGCTTTCGCGGTTTTTCTCCGTTTCATAGTTGGATCAAAAGTTTTCGATTAACTAATCAATCGCTTTGGATATGCAGAATTTCCGGACAAACTTCAAAGATGTCTCAGTCTTCTTGCCAAGATTTTTTCTTCATTACTTTTCTTTCCTCTAGATTTTACGAACATAATTCAATCGATATATCGACCATCCATTTGAAAGTTCAACAAAAATTTCCCGAAGATCAAGAGATATGATAAAATGATCACAATAAACTCTCTGTCGGTATCTGTGACAAGTACTGAGATAATCAGAAGAAATATACCTATCTCTTGCAGGCTAGAAGTATTAGGATGACTAAAGTGTTAGCTATTTGATATTGCTGATAAGGATGATGTACTTTTAATATCCGTTTCATCTAATAGATCATATTTTATCTTAATTTGATTTGTTGACAAGTCGTATAGTTACCAAATTGTGCTAGTTAAATTAAATGTCGACTGGAAATTATATTGTTTACTTGTTTACTTATATTTACCTTACTCCTTCCAAATTTGACGTTGGCAAACCACTTTTGCAACCCCCAACAATTCATTTTAAAATCTTTAGCTTCCTCCGATGGAAATATCTTTATCAGGTTTCATTCATTATTCAGGCGAACTTAATTTGCTCAATTAAATCGAATTCGACTCGATTTCTTACGATAGAGACTGACGGATCTACCCGTTCGAACACGTTAACATCTATCACAGTTGGCCGGTGCTCGTTACCAGTGAATCTGCTTTGATTATACTAGGTAATATAATAATGGTATTTGGTTAGATGGTTAGACTTATCACAAGATAAATTAAAATGCTCTGATTAATAATCAAATAGAGGACATAGAGGACAACTTCGCCATTAGGATTGATTGCTGCAAAAAATTAATAAAAGCTGATTAAAATTATATTAGCGACGTACATAGTAATTATTAAAAGGGAAAAAGTGGAAAAGATTGGAATTCATAGAATTCGAGTGAAACTATCTTTGCTAAATTTACTGAATTTTTAGATGGTTAAGTTGAAAGAATTTTGGAATGATACTTAATTCTGAACCTCAGTCATATTTCAGAAGACTGCCATTGATCCACCTCAAACTTGTATAAATTTCAACATCTTTTTTTCCAAAGATTCATATGTTATTGTAACTCAGCCTGTTAGCCAGCAACTATATGCTTGTCACAGACAATGTAATCAACCCACTTCCCGAAGTATTCTGATGCGAGACAAATGGTAGTAAAAGTTCACAATTCCCCCTCATTTTCTCGGATATCTCATTCGGTAAGTTGTGGTTAGCGTATTAGTTAAGACGTTAAGATCGTTGAAATTACCAGCAAGATTTGGTAAATCTAATATAGTTTATTTTCTGTTTGTAAAGTTCTTCTTCGGATAGTTCTGTAGTATAAATCGGAAGCGACAAATGACCGTTTCACTGTCACTCACTTTCGTCTTCTGTGATTCATAACTTACTTTAGGGAAGAAAATTTCCTAGCTTAATTTGGAAATTTTAAAAAAGCTACAATAGTAGAAGTGGAAGCTGAAGAAAAAGAAAAGCTGTCGATGCAGCTCTCCATTCTAAGCTTATCATCATCCAATTGTTAAGGAGTTATTTAATGGGCACTCTTTTTTTTAAATTTCAGTTTCAAATTTATGTCTAAATTTATCAATTTAGACATTTCCCTATAATAAATAGCCCTAATTATAGGGAAGAAGTAATGTCTAAAAAAAAAGAATTTATTACTTCCCATCAAATATTTATATAGTAGTCGCTTATGGTAAAAAAAGGAATCAAAGTTGTATCGTTATTTTTGTCCCAAGAAAAATGGAGGATTAAGGTCATCCAAGGTGAATAGAGTACACTGCTAAGGTGCGATTCTGTTGCTAATGGTCAACGCAGGTTATCTGTAGCAATTCCACCCATTGATAAGTGAGGAAGGACAGGAATGTTTGCAAAGTGTTTGATGTGTAGCTGGTAGTGTTTTGAGCACACTCTTGAAAGAAGTGTCTTAAATCAAGAAAGGTCATTCTCTACCAACCAAGATACTGATCTCCTGCAAAATTTTCATTCCTTCCTTCTTGTCCTTCATCCTATTCTCACCAAACCCTGCCCTTCGACCCTTCTCTTCCTTTGTGAATTAAGTTCCTTTATTTCTTTCCTTCTTCCACTCTTCATCTTCCTCCCTGCCACATTCTACCTTCCTTTCTTCCGTCCTATATGAAAATCTCCCCGCATCTGTCACACCTCTTCAGGAACCAGTTCTTCCTTCTGTTCATATTATCACCAACAATATTGTTCCTTTTTGGAAAATGATACAGCACGGGGGTGTGCACATAAGCGTTTTCAACCATCCTCTAATCTTATACAATTTTGCGATGTCATGAAATTTGTTCAGAAATTTATGCAAATCGGGCGCTCAAAGACCCATTTCCAACAACTTAATGCTGAACCTCGACCCGCAGGCAATTCATCCTTTTTTTTCCCAGGTAATTTCCAAATTTTCAAGATGGAACCATCTTTATTCAAATTATTTTGTTCTGTAAACATTTTATTACCGATTTTCTGCTACTAATTTATTGATGCGCAAAGTATTATCGACTACACAATCAGCAATAACATTTTAACGTAATAATGATAATGAGGGTGATAATGTCACAGCGGAATGTAGGTTGAAATAGCGGAGAATGAGATAGGGAAATTCTCCTGGACACAACGTTTTGTCAGCAAGAAGAGATCTGTGACATTCAAATATTGTGGACTCTCACAAATATCTCATTTGTGAAATCTAAAGTTTGTAAACTAAAACGTTGTTTAACCCATGGTTTTTTCTTATAATTCATTCAAAGAGTTGATTACTACAAAAGATTACTTTGTCTAAGATCGTCATTTCCTGTCTTTCGTTGAATCTAACTTTTTTTTATAGAAAGTTCTGCGAATTCATCCAAGTGATCACACCAAATTAATTTTCATCTTTGTTAATGCTAATTTACATTTCAGTGATAATCACTCTTGTTATTTTTGTTAACATTGGCAATTCTTAAATTTAGTGATACGCTCATTTATTTCACTTAAAAAATGAGTAGGAAGTAAAAGCAGGAACTATGAGCATTTAGCAGATCCTTTTATTTCTTAAATTTCTTTTTAAGGAGGTCCACCACCATCTTATCGTTCTTCAACAAATGCTGATGATAGCGCCACATTCAGTAGTACAGAATCATCCACCGTTCCAACAACGACATACTCCATCAAACGACGTAATTCTTGGATAAATTTAATCGAAAGTAATGAAAATTTGTACAAGAAAGATTTACTACATTATACAGAATCATTATGTACGGCAGCTGCAGCTGCACCATCATTATCAACACCATCAGCACCACCAACAACAACAACAACATCAACAACACGTTGCGCAAATGTTATGATGCCTGTTTGTTGTACGTGGGTTGGAGATATTTACGAGAATAATTACCAGTTCCTGGAGAAGTACAATTTAAATGGACGATATGCGAAGCACTTTACACCTTTTTATGTCTTAAATTCAGCCGGCGATCCAATTGCTATATCCAAACTGAAGTTAACTGTAAGTCTCACCTTTTTACTGATCATTTATATGTAATACCAACAGTTTATTTCCCCAGCTTCGCTCTTTTGTATGATCCTTTCCTTATTTGGTACCACTCCTTATTACTGTTAGCTGGAAAAAAAAAAAAAAAACTCTATAGATCTAAAACACACATATATATCGTATCCTTTGTGGTTTCACATCTCAAGGAGTACCTTTTTTACCAGACAATTAAGCATCTTTTGATTCCCATTCATTCGCTTTCTAATTGTTGCAGAAAGAGTGCAGGAAAAGTATATTAAGTTGTCCTTTTGTTTATCTCTTTATTACTTGTGCAAACCCACTTTCACTTCCCTTGCATTTGCAGCCTTCGAAATTAGCATTCTTCTCGAAAATTCAATTAGTAATGCAGTGCTTGCAGCACTATTAATGTCCTCTTTGCATACGATGGATTAATTTATCGCATTGTTGAAGAAAAGCTAAGATATCGGAATAGGAAATTCTGTTTATTTAATACACTCGTGAAGATGGGTGTTTGCAAATATTTGCATTTCACTTAGAGAGGAAAGAGAAGAAAGAAGAAAGATAAGTGGAAGAATTTTAGTAGTAAAGAGGGACGAGGATGAAAACAGTAAAGATATGAGAATATGAAGGTGAAAGATGATGATCTCTGCTGAATTCTTCCACTGTTTCCTCAAAATTCCTTGCTCGTATTGCTTTCCGAATATAAAATAGTAATTAATAAAAAAGGAATGAAGACAAAAATAACATGAAAAATATAAAAATTGCAACGAAAAGGTTACAAAGTGAGATGGATGGAAACACTTGAAGGTCACTACTTATATTGTTTACCTGACTTTTACAACTCATACATAAACGACCTCTTTAAGGTCATATGACGTGAATAACGTAACAACTGAAATAAATTGAAAGGATCGAAAGGAAAATACATTATTATTATTGTCCAATGTGCAGTTTGTATTTTGTGAAGTTCTGCACTATGAGAATTGACGTGTTTACATACATCTCACTTGATCAACTTATTTAAGTATACTTTTCATATTTCTATACACTACTTCTACGAGTGATACAAAACCAATGATAATATTCAATTCATAGTATGAATAGGTGTTTCTAATGTCGAATTTTTCTCATTTCTGACTTATACCAAGTCTTTCTCGCAAAAATAAATTAAATTATGTCTTTTTCGTTTATCCATTTCACCACCAGTTTCTGTACACAGAAACCAATTAATACCACGAATACCATGTTACTCAAAATGAGATATCCAGACTTTTGTAATAAAAATGTTCTGAATTCTTCATTTCCACTTTCTTCTGCCATTTCTATTTTTTTTTTTCTGCAAATTCCTCGAAATCATTTATGCTACTTTTCTGTCCAAAGATGATGATAGATAGAATACTCAGGAATCAAAAATGGATCTTTTGCAAGTATGTAAATCCATATAATTCTAATCTAATTACTTGAAGAGGTGGAACATTTACAAATGACCATGTTGTCAAAGTTATCAGGAATTAGCCAGTGAAAATTAAATCTGTGAAATTGTTATGCAAATAGATTTATCAGTTGCTAGAAATGTTAAAAGTACACTACTGACTTATGTTTTAGTTTCCAACAATCTTTTCGTATTATGAAAGGTTTCCAAAACAAACCACTTATCTCTCAGCAGGATACAGTATACGAAAATGTTCCGTTGGATATCCAACATTCCGAATTGCATTTCTCCCAACTATATTTTCAGAATTCTGGCTCATTATGCAAATTAAATGGTGGAGGAAAAAAATTGCCAGCAGGTTTTTCGAAACCAGATCGGATTAGTGGATTAATGCGATGGTTTCAAGTGCCAAAAAATAAATTTCACATATTTATCCCATTATTTTTGATTATTGCATGCTGTTTCATAGCCGCCATTTTACTTCTCAGTAAGCAATTCGCAGTAAGTTTTTTTAAGAAAGATTTTTACTTGAAAAAAACCTCCCTTGTTTTCCATATGAAACTCTTGGAATCGGAAAAAAGCAATAAGGGAATTAGAAATGCTAAATGGGCGATTCTGACATAGTTATTGTTTTCGATTTTTCACGTGAAATCTTCTTGGTGTGATTAAAACAGCTGCATTTAAGTAGCATTTCCTACAGTTTCGGAATATATTCCTTTTTTAAGTCTTTCCGGATAATTCATAACGGAAACCAGTCATGTATGGCAAAAAGGAAAATATTCACAATTTAAAGCAGCATAGATTATAACAATTGAAAGCATCACATTCAGCATTTTCATGAAAGTGTCTTTCTGCAGAAAATTATGAGCGGTCTTTTCTTGATGAAGACGCAAAAGAGACTCTTAAAATTGACAAACAATTTGACAGCACTAGAAGCGTAATTTGTTGCAATTATCAGCATACACATTTAACTTAATCATCTCTTATAGCTCTTACGTAAGCCTATCAACTACCTTTAGAGAATTGATAGGCTTGCTGATAAGAGCTATAACTGATAATAGGGGAAACTAATCCTGAATCAATCTTTTCACTCCATTTTAAATGTGCATATTTCTTAGTGCAATGCATATTTTAATCTTTGTGCTATAATAATTATAAAAATTTTCAGCAAAATAATGTCATCCGATAACACTTAGATTTAAATATAGAATGACTAAGTCGCTGACAAGAGGAGATTTCTTGTTGTTAAGAATCAAAGTATCACGATGATACTTTGAGATTTCTGCATTTTAGAAAACATTTGCCAAATACTGCGGCTCAGTCATAATTTTTAGTTTGAATTTTTCCATATGCTACCTTTTGAAACTTCACCAAAAGCATATTTTTCTCTCCAAGTATAATTCTTGAATGTTATGACAACAACCGAATTCTTTTTACGTTATACTCCATACATACTGAGTGTAAAAAAATTTTGTTAAAAAGCTTGTCTTTTGTGCTCAAATAAAAGCACAGTACATAGAAGGTTAGCAAAGTCTTTCGAAAAACTTTTATAAGATGCTAATTTTCTGTGTATTTAGTAGAACACAAGAAATAAGATATTTCTTGTATCTTATTTCTGGGACACAAGAAATATCTTAATATCTTATTTCTTCTTCCGACTCTACTGCAATCATGGTAATATAATGCGAGCTGATTCGAGTATCGAAAGTAGAAGGAACTGAGATTCAAATAAAGTGATCCTTGTATTTTAATTTTATTATCACAAGATAAGATCGATAATAAGGGTGTTCCTTGAAAACTCTGTTTAAGCAAACATAATTAATATGTCAAAATTTCAAGTCCTGTTAAATGAATGATCTGATTAGGCTGGGATTTAATTTTGAATAAAAAAATTGTTGATAAATGCTGAAAAAAAAATGCTCAAAAAAAAATGAGTGGTGAATTACGAACACTTAATTATCGAACTTCAAAATAGTTTTATACGATGACTTTTAAAAAATCGTTTTAGATATTTTTTGAGAGAGGCTTTTTCAGCAATAATTGAGCAACATTGCAGCAATGGGATATTGGCTTAAATTGTAGTTCACGTATAAGTTAATTATCATAAAATAATATTTAGCTTGTTTACAGTAACATTTTTAGTGGGTTAGAATAAAAAGTGTTCGCATAGCAGACAAAAAACCGTTAATGTGAATCTTATTCTTAAGTTTTCCAGCAAGAATCACGGAATTTTTCTTGGATACCACCATTCATATTTCGTAACCAACAAGGGAATTCGACCGTTGTCAAAATGTATCAGAACGGTCATCAAGTTAGATTTGAGATACTGGGGAATCTGCCGATTAAAAATAATTACATTGCTGTATATGATTTTGCATCGGTATGTTTTGCTTTCGGAAAATCATTCAGTATTTAGATTCCGTAAAGAGTGTAAATATCATAGAGCAAAAAAATCATTGACAACTTAATATTTAAAGTGATCAGCTATACTAATCACTCATCTCCTTGGGTATTTTCGGGCTTGAAGACAGCGAAAGTCCTTGCAGTTTCACAAGATTTAAAATCACTCATTTATGTAATAATTTATGAAATTGTCTGAGATGTGAGATTGCGTACTCTTTGAAGTAAAATGGATCTGTTGATTTGAGTTGAATTCGTATCATCCGTATAACCTTTTGAAAGATTGGTTGAGATTATCTGAATTTATTTTTTTTAATTGATCTTTTACAAAATTATAAATCAAGTTATATTAAAAAGTGTTGCATTCATTAAATATTTTTAATTTTACCATCGGATGAATGCATAGATTCTAGCAAGTTTCATATTTACTCAGTGCAGAAGTAACGTTCACGGCATTCCATACCAAATGGCGTGTTTGGAACTCTCAAAGTTAACTGTCTTTGATTAACTCTAGTCAGCATAAATTTAACTCAACAAAATTATGACTGAATAAAGATCACTGGAAATGTTCTCTTCATCCAACATTCAGAAGTGAATTATAGAGAAGAATAGCAATAATCGATTCAACTCTGAGAGATAACGGCAAAAATTTGGTTTGCTTCGTGATGAATATGAATATATCAACAATGCCCGATAAATATTCTCTTGAAATTGGAGCGCAAAATGCTCTCAAGGTCTGCTTCTTAGTTTATTAGGATTCATTTGTTTAAGATTTCACTTGATGATTTTTCATTATCTAATTGCACCATGAATCAATCACACACTTTTCAATCCTACCATTATTTTAAAGCGTAAGGAACAAATCCATGGATGGGAGGAAGCGTGGAATTTCTTACCTGGTTCATATTTCGGTAATTTGTCAACACTTTTTGATCCACTCATTCCTGAATGCGATACTGCACGATGGATCTTACTTAATTATACTAGATTCGATCAGAGAGGTATACTTCTGCTTTTAAAAATTTTTTACAAATCAAAGTAATGAAATATAATCCCGCAGTTTTTTGGCCTTAAAAACGTGCAGGTTCGATAAGTTTCAAGATCTTCTTCTAAAATACAGGTTTAAGTCTCAAATATTTAATGAGAATATTGAATGTTGCAATAGTTTGGGTAAGTATTAACGGGAGATTTAGAAATTCAGTTTGCAAAAGCATTTAATTCAGGAAAAAAATGCAGCGATTGTTATGATTTCTGTTTACCAGAGCTCGGTATTGAAATGGATCATTTAAGAGCGGAAGCATTTTTAAACATTATACGCCGTAATTGCTTTTATCTTTTTGTACCGGAGTGGCGTTCATTTGCAGCCGCATACAGTGGTAAACAGAATGAATATGATTTGGAACAACTTTATTATGGAGGTAAGCTAACCTCCGAAAATATCATTCATTTAAAATTCCGATTTTCAATTAAATCATTGTATGATTGCATATATTCTCTCTTTCCAATACATATATATATATATATATATATTTCCAGGTTTTTTTTTCTCGTGCTTAGTTAAACTTTCATTCTCAATTTAAAATTCTGTTGACTGAACAAAACTTTGCTGAATTTTTTTATCATTTTGAAAGGAAGAGTACTGTCAACTGAGTCATGTAAATAGGTCGGAGTCATGTAAACAATGGTAACGATAACAGAAGCACCAATAGTAGTGCTGGCGATAATTATGGGAATCGTCTTAATGGGATACAAAGTGTTATTGATGAAATTGTACAGCCGATCACAGATCAGAGTCGAAATTTCGAATCAAAGTGGATTTCTCTACAGGAAATACCGCGTTAGCTTCATTCATTTTGATGGAATACGTCATTGCTATATCATCACCTTAGTAATTTAATCACAGTCATCAACTTGTTCAATTGGAGGCGTGAATGTGCTGTTGGATCAAGTAAAGAAACGTATCATCAGCAAGATGTTACCTTTCACTTCTATATTTGCAGCTTTTAAATAGTATTCTGTGGAATGCTAGAAGAAATTAGTTATTGCAGGAAACAATTACAGTGGGAGTATGTCATCAAGCACTTATGGTAATTTCAATTTGAATAGTAATAGCAATGAATTTGAAACTGGAAATGGCGCTTTTTCGAACAATAATGACCGGATGAAACCTTTACTCCCAATGCCACCACCAAGTTATCCGATACAAGTCAAGCAAAAGTCATCTTTGGATCTCGGAAACCTTTTTACCGAGGTCCTACAACCTTATCAGAATCTTGGTGGCGCGAATGCACGACTACAAAATGGTGTTTTTGGCAGCAACAATGAACAGTTCGCTTCGCCAACTAAATATAGCGAGCAGCCGAATAGTTACAATGTCCAATTACCCAGTGGTCAAGCGTTCAATGGTCTATCAAATACAGTAGTGGTTAGCTTAATTCTGTTCAAGTAATTGAATGATTATGATTGTGTTTCAAAATCAACCACTTTTATTGAAATATTTGTTCAGCAGCATATAATATCACGACGAAAATGATATTGAGGGAATTAAATAAGCAGTTAGAAGTTGCTTAAATTCGAAAATACACGATTAAAATCTCTGATAGTAACTTGCTTTTAGTTTATCTTGCTCCCACATTTTTGTTTTCCCAGTTTAATAATAAACAATTGAACAATCCCAAAGATTGTTTTTAGAGTATCGATGGTAAGAATAATCAACCAAAAAGTATCTATGATCAATCAATCATGGATGGTGAAAGTAATTCTAAACAATCAAATTATTATACTTCGCAATCTGGAATCAATGTTTACATGCAGCAAGCAGCAAATCCTAAGCAGAATGATCAAGTAAAATTTTTTTCGAGAATTTATGTGGAACTTTGTTGAATTCATTCACTCCATTACTGTTGATAATATTGGTGCATCAATATCACAGGATACTGTAACCTAAGTGCAATATGATTTGAGATGAAGAAAAAACGGAAATGAAAATAAGTAAGACTAATTTTTTTATTCACCCATCAAACACACGGGTTTTTTTTTCTAAGCAAAAAAGTGAAGATGTAATAATCTTCGATTGGAGCTGCGCAAGTTCATTTCTGAGAATATTTAAAATGAGCAAGCATTTGCCGTATAAAAATTACTCGATAGACAGGAAGAAAACGCAGAGAAACATGGAGCTGGAAATAAAAAGCAGAAGGTCATCTCTTGACCTCCTTAGCATTTCCATCTCATGCTTCCATCCAGAGTAGTTTGTCGAATTCCAATCCAGCAATTCTAATAATCCTGAAAAACAACAAAAAACCCTCAGCACTTATTATTTCCGTGTCAGCACTTTGGCATACTGTGAATATAGTTCGCATCCCCAGATACTTGGAATCTTTTATTCCTCTAATTTTGTTATATTAATGGGAATCGAGCTCACCACCAAATAGTATAATTCATGAATAAGCTGAGACTCGGAAACGAGTTTAGTCAGACAAACTTCCATTCTTTATTTTTTTACTCTTGTATTTCGTATTCCCGAATACTTGTACTACTACTTGTACTTGTACTACTACTTGTATTAATTCAGTTGCTTAATTATTTTCTTCCAGGATAATGGCTCAGAAAGTCAACAATTGGTCAATGATAAGGGATGGGTTACTGTTGGTTAGCAAAACCTAAATTAACATGAACATATCCTTCCAGTAATTGTTGCTGTCCTACTCCTAGTTATTCTGTACGTGACTAATTTGCTTGTTGTTAAGTCTATGATATCCATGTCTAGCTCCTGCTCTTTATGAACTCATTCTATCATAGATCTTATTCTTTGTTACTTGTACATAATGATGATGATATGCTCAAGTTTCTGGCCAACAGTTTTAGAGTTCGATGTTGTTCGTTCATGAAAACGCGAACAGTGTTATTTTTTTTTTTACACTGGAATATTTTTTCTTAGTAAATTGCTCATTACAGTTTATGCTCAGTGCAAAACAAATTAAAACTCTGTCTTGAAGTTCTATTTATTGAAAACTGAATTCACATTCTATAATATTTCCTTATAAAGTTTACTTTCCAACAACCCTACTCAAATGATTTGATCATTCCGCATAGTTCTTACAAAAGTACTTTATAGTTACAAGTTATGATCTCCACATACGAAAAGTAAACATCAGTATTGTCGTAATATTTATTGTACGCAAAAAAAATCAATAGCCTGGCAATAAGATTCCTAAATCTTGATGTTAGATAATGAAGATAAAATTCAAGTACGCTAACTATTTCACTCATACATAACAAGCAGATTGAGAAATTTGTAAACAGCGTAGGTCGATGTTCCATGGTACTGAGGACTTCCCAGCTTAGTCAAATTTATTCCACTTGAAAATGCTCCTGTGTTGTGTTAGATGTCAGCAATCGATCTATACTGCTATTAGGAAAATGATTACCGAACAATAACATGTTAATGCACAACACATATGAGGAACGACGTACTTACAATTCTGTATGAACAATTTTTGTTTCCAAATAATTTTCCAGTTTCCTAAGCTTACGTTGCAAACGTTTATTTTCTTCCTCGAAACTGCTAACATCTTCATCGAATACATTAAATTTGCCTAATTTTTCCTGTTCTTTCTTTGCTGCTTCGAGTTCTTCATCGTGGTACTTCATCTTCTCAAGACGTTTATCAAAATGATTCAGTTCTACCCGTATTGATTCCAATTCTGAGGTGGTGAAATTCGGATTCTGTATTGCCTAAATTAAAGAGTCGTTATTTTATCGTTCCGCAAAACCCGTTATAATGAAATTTTAAAGATAAAAAAGGAAAGTAATTGATACAGAAGTTTAAATAAGTGTAACTGTTATACAAAGATGGTTTGTTTCTAATCAGTTTGTTTCGACTTATACGGACAACGTCTCAAGGTGACTCTTCCGCTAGCTGTACTTTTCGCCGCTATATGGAGGGATTTTACAATATGCAAGGAAAAAAGCAACAAAATATGCAAATTTGCAGAAATATGGCACATCTCAAAGTGCACTTATATTTCTTAACAGCCATCACCATCAACAAATCTCGAACAATATTTACAAAAATTGAAAGAATCAACGTATGAAAAGACTAACCAAATGCCACAAATTTGTTACTTTTTCATTGCTGAATACTTTTTGCGACACTTTTACAACTTTCTGATGCAATTTATCATACGAATCCATAAGGTTACTATGATACACCTTCAATTCGCGATTTAACTTATCGTTCATTTCGAAAGAATTTCCAATTAAACTATTATCATTGAATTCACTGAACAGTTGCACTTTCTGTTCATATAACTCCATCTTTCGTTCATGATCTTTCAGTTCTTTGTGAAGAGCTGGAACAGTTTATTTACATATATCAGTTATGAAAAAAGTTTAGAAAATGGAGGCAGATGACAACGGCAAGTGATTAGTTCACTTCAAACAGCTAAAATCTTTAATTTTATTATTTTGATAAAGATTCCTAGGATCCATACACTCATGCATACATATAAATAAGCATAAACGCACACACAAGGAACTCTACTTTTCAGTTCATTTTTGGAAAAACGCGAATTCTGTGCAGCATGCCAAAGTTTTTGTAGCTTCGGATCTTTAAGTTTCTCTGAAGAAAGAATACTGTCCCCTTCTTCTTCGTCCCGCCACTTGTATTTCTGAAACACACTGCGAATTTTCCTCCAATTTTGCACAAATCAAAAATTTTGAATTCAGCATTTTGCTCAACAAAAGTGAATCAATTTCTATCTCAGCATCTTCACTGCATCTTGAAAATAACGAAAAATGAAGCACACGAAGCATACCTTACGAGCATATGTGTCCTCTAAACGAAATACTTTTAGGCCATATATACCTTCATATAAGCATTCATTGCTGATTCCAAACCAAACTTCTCAAGAAGTTGTACAAGCTTATTGTCCACCTCTTCCAGAATCAACTTCTCGTTTTTCATACTTCTTGCTTTTGCAGATAAATAAAGTGCGTCAAATTTGTCCAAATCATCCTAAAAATGAAGAAAGGGAACCAAGAATAATAATTTAAACTTAAGAAAAGCCAAATAAAAAATCTGAGCTTTGACTCTGTCGATGCTAGAAATTCCTCTCTTCGAACGTCTTATTAACAATCCAAAGCTTACCTTCAAACGTTTGATCATTGCCTTATCAGTAAGATGATGCACGGCTTTAGACCAAATAAAATTTAGCTTGTTAATGCGAAATGACACATCCATCCATGTGCTCGGATTCGTTCCCAGGGACAACTGCATCGCAGTTAGCATTATCAGTGATAATGTTATCTTTATTAACGTCATTTTGCAAAAAATTTTTCCTTCGCATGCAGATTATAACAGTAACATCCCGTCTCAGAATAAGCAAACTTTATAAGCCACCAACAAATCGCGCTTTAACACAGAATTAACTGACCCTATAATTAAATTCATTATTTAAATTAGTAGCAAACATCACAACACACTCTCAGATCAATGTACCATAAGAGAAAACACTGAAATCCTTAACAAAGTTGAGAAATGGCATTAATGAAGACGTAACGGTACCGAGTTCCATTTAAGCTTTCAACAGAATTGAATATAAGATAACAAATTGCGCCAACTTGCCAGCTGTCAACAAGCCACCCAATCTAAAGCCACTTTTATGAAACCGCCGCAGATCACGGCCCATGAAGTTAGGACACCGGAGAAATGCCAGTTCGTGCCACCGGCGACCTCCGTTGGAGGTTTTGTTTCTTCGGGAGTGAGGGACGTCTGTCTTCTTGGAATGATAACTTTTAACTGTAAGAATAACTGCTTTCCCAAAAATTTGATAAATTTAAGGTGAATATTAGTTTGATAGCTGTGCTTTCAAAATGTATTCATTGTATCGTATTATCAGATCTCTATCACTATAACTGATACCCCAAACCTGAAATGAGCACAACACAAAGATCTACGACACATTGCACACTTTTCTATTTCACATTTAAATTTTTCTCTATTTTTCTCTTCAGTGGTTACGTTGTTCATTACGTGTTACGTGTGTTCATGTAGCTGGCGTGACCTACGTTCATATAGCATATCAAATACGACTAGATTTTTATCACTTTTTTGACTGCAGCAATATATTTTTATGTCCAACAAAACAAAACATGAACGTATAAGAAATCCGAATTTAAATGAGATTATATCGGAATTGAAATTAATAAAAGATCTAAAATTTATATTAGCGTTTCTTCTGGATTAATCCCAGTTTCCGCTATCGTGATGGTAATTATGGAAGTGCTCATCACTGGAATCTTTCCATCCATCCTCATGTTCGCTGCTGCCCCACCCCTTGACATCTTCCTTCCAGGCATCGTGGTTATGGCCATATTCATGACTACTTTTGCCACGTGCGATCTTATCCCAAGCAGAATGTGCCAATCCGTGATCAACATCTGCATGCTCGTAACCTTTTTTAAAGCCACCATGATTAGCATCTTTTACATGGGCTTCCTTCGCTGCTTCGTGATCATAACCTAAAAGGCACTTTCAGTTTGAAATTCTTATTTATCCCTTAAAATCATAAAATCTCTCGAAAATACTTAAATTGAAAAATGATCCTTGCCGTAAATGAGCTGTTGAGTTTGACTTCGGTTTTCTCAAATAAGATGTCAAACCTTTTGAGAATTTAAATTCAATTTTTATGTCGCTATAGTTCTATAATTCAGAACTGCATGTTCACTTACCATTAGTTCCCCAATATCCTTTGGAGTAGAATCCGTGCGGCCCTGATCCTTGCGTAAAGTATGAGTATTTTTTGCGTCCTTCGGCTCCTTAAATGAGGGGCAGGATGTTTACAGAATTTTTGAAGCTTGAAATTTTAAAAGCCTTCTGAAACATCAACTGTAACATTTCCAGTTCATTGCTCGAGTTGAAAGTCCGCAGTTAAATTACAGGATTTACATATTTTCCTTACCAGAAAGTGTATGTTCTCCAGCTTCCAGTGCATCAGCAACATATCCATCAGTAATATGTTTTGCAAATTTAGAAAATCCGTCTGCGGCTCCTTTACTGCCATATGCGAAACCCGCATGATCTCTATCAGTGTATTCGTGTCTTTTATCGCCGTACTCATTTGCGCCAGCTTTTCCACCTTGTGATGCACGAAAACCGCCCCAAGCAGTGCTATCTTTATCCCAATGCTTCCCTAAAAATTCGACAACTTTTTGAAATTATACGGATGTAATTCTAAAAGAAGACTATGTAAGGTTTATCGCATAGTCCACACACAACTTTGCTCATTATTATTGAGATCAAAGAAAAAACAACAAAATGAAAATAAATTGGAGTAGGATGCATGAATGAATGAATGAACCCAACAATAGTTTGTCAATCAAATGGTTAATTAGTAGCTTTTCCAGATTGCATTACGTTCTATTGAAGTGAAATACTCAATTAACCGTAGAGAATTATCGGGTGACCTACCGACGTTCCATTCACGAGCAGGTTCGTGATGAATCCATTTGGAGCATAATGAACAATGCAATTGAATAATGAAGCATAAGACGAAAGCGGTCGATCCGAACATTTTCGTTACTTTCGGAGAATCGGAAGGAAAAATACTTGAGATGAGAGGAGAAGCTTCGAATAGTGCTGGATGCTTGGTGATACATCCCCAACTCAATTTATATCTGAGAAAGAAGGTCAATGCAATTTTCCACAGAGATGAATTCCGGCTAGTTCTTTGCATTTCTCCTGCACCGACCCAAAATAATTCATAAAAGTGACAATTCAATGTAATATTCAACTAATGCTTCATCTCCCCGTCTTATATTTCTGCTTCTGCGTCAAATACAAGTTTTATATGCAGTTAATGGCAAGCTGTGAAAATTTTCTTGCCAAGAAAAAAAAAAAAAACAAGAATCTTTTATTACTGTTATTAAGCAAAAAAAAAAAAAAAACAAGAGCAATAGACGTAGAAAACGAGCATATAGTTATTTCGTAGAAAACGAACATACAGTTATTCGGTAGCGAGTATCTAAATAACCAAGAGATTCTACTAAATTTACCAAAGAGGTTCGACCCTACGGCATCAACATTTCCTGAAATCAATAATCGAAGCCATTAAACGCAGTTCAAAGAACGGCCAAGTGATTTTTCATTGCATAAACCTATCACCTGGTATGGGCAAAAATATTTTACCACTTGCTTCGAAATTTAAGTATCTTTTAAAATCTACACTGTAATAATGACATCACAGTTTTAATGACCCTTCATCACCTATCCACAAGCGAACTAGACGAAAACTTAATTCATTTATTACAGATAAACGAAATAAACTGCATTCTTTAATTGGACATTTCTATCGGGAAAAACCGAAATATTTTTAATATAGACGTAATGGTGACAACTAAAATGTAAGATGTAAATCAATTCATGTTATCAAATTCACATGCAATGTCAGTATATTGCGAAGACTCTCAGATCAATTTCGGCATATTGTAAAGAACCTCAGATCATCTTGGAGTCAATTGGTTCTAACTTCTTGGATTGTTGTAAATAAACCCTCACTATATAAAAGATACAGACTGTATAAGGGATGCAATTTTGAACATTGAACTAGCAGTGCACAACAGAATCTTTCTATCGACAAGGATTTCAAATCCAAACAAGTGAACGATATCGATTTGTTACTCGCCGACACCTAATAAGTATTTCGAAGTCACAAGCCTTCCGCATATCCATCATAGTTGCAAACAACAAAACTCCTATACGGCGCAATTTTTACAACTTCCTCAACTGAGACGAAATCTCATACACATTATTGAAGATCTATAAGTGGACCTCAATTCGAGTAATTAGAGTAACCAATTACGTATCGTAAATCTGACCAACGTCCTCAACTCTCCAGAGGACTGGCATAGTTATGATGCATATAATCTTCACCCGAGTGGGACGAATAATTTGACCGGAATAACAATAAAAGAGGGAAAAATAACAGAAAAGAAAGGACATGAAGGAAGTCAAACAGATGAAATCAGAGTGTTTACAGAGCAAAGGTGTGGAGGTGCACAAAATTAAGGATAAATATGCAATCAGAAAACAATTTTCAAGACAACGAGAAATTCAAAAGGTGGAAATTATCTGTCGATCAAAATCGGAGTCGGAAATCATGATATCGTCATCAAGGACGGCAACGGCGAGTAATGAGAAGAACGATGCCAGAGAAGAAGTAAAATGCCAAATATCGTGATAGTCGAAATACTGGAACATTATGCATTCCTCATCGACAGCATGATTTTGTGCTGCTGTCAGCTAAATTTCAGGAATTTGTAAGTTGTACTAAATGATTACAACGGAATAGAACAGTTTCATAGTGAAACTTAAAAGATGTGGATATCATAGTAAAGGAACTGCATAATCTTTTCCTTACAATTCAGGATGAAATTTCTTGAAATGGCTGCAAACACATGCTACAAGTATATATAATTATACTTGTGGTGTCGCAATCATCCTAATTCTTCAATTCAACTCCCTCCTTTAAATCTTTTTGACTTTCGGTAATAGTTAAATATTCACTTACAGTCCAATCAGTCTTGTCACGGTTGAAGAAATAAAAAGCAGCAATCCAAAGCAGAAATGAAGCAATGGTATAAACGAAAGCATGTATGAGGACTGTTTCACCATTAATAATCTGAAAGTGGTGACATGGTAACTGACTGGTGACAAATAATAAGTATATAATACGAAAATTTGAATAATGTCATTGATGAGCAGGACATAATCCACTGCTTTTGGAAAAAACTTGCTAAATGAAAGAGATAGTGAACTTCATAATCACTTCACATCAAAGGACTTTGATAGGACAAATCATTCTTTTGTTTATTACAGAAAATTTAAATTTCTGCAAGTAAAAAGAAGCAGCGTAGCCACAACCAGAATGATTACGAATATTCAGCTTCCGTTGAGCACATCTTTTCAGTCTCTTGTTTTCAAAAGATGCTTGTGCAACTAGTAATTTGTAGTTGCAGTACTGTAGTAGCTAAGGAATGAGGGCTGATAATTCTACCAGTAATAGAAGAGTAACTCGACTTTCACCTTTCTGGAGAATGGAACCAGGTTTTCTTCTAGTTTATTTATATTTTATCGAAGAATATCTGCCCAATTTCCTCTTCCACAATAGTTACACCACATAGATGACCTGCCCTAGTATTCCAAAAAAAAAAAGAACGGCAAAACTCCATGCTGAGGTTTTCTGGAAGAATTCAGATCTATCCATCTGTTCCATAGTAAGCACAAGAGCAGCAGTTCTTTCATTAGCATTTTCCAAATCATTATTCAGCTGAACTGAAGAAGCCTACAAGCTGCAGCCAACTAACTGTAAGCAATTACAAAACAGTCATGCAGTTCATGGGTTTCTAGAAAATGTAGCAGATCAACTGATTTTTTCTTTTTTTTTACTTCTTATCGTTACAGGAAAAGCTGAAACAGAAAAAATGGAAGGGAGTGGGTTTCTCCCTTACTCTTATCTCACTTTGCAGTACATACGTTCCTCGTTTTCCAACCAATAATGAGTTAACGACCAAATAAGTAATATGAAAGGTGCCGAAATTTCAGTAAGTCTGACTGCAATATATTTTTAAGTTCTAGTGCAAAAACTGAATCGGAACTGAGCGCACCAGAAAAGAGTTGTAGCTCGCCTAACCGTTGGAACACTAGGATTAATTCATGATGCCAGAAGGATGACAATAACGGAATTAATAAATGCAGAAGAGAAGATGAGTAAATATTCGTACTTCTATCTATTTCTTTCAGAAATACTTCAGGTCTAAAGTCTGTCAAATTCCAGACCAAAAAAAATCAACAAGGAGCAAAGGAAGAATAACTATTGCTGGAAATTAAACTTAACGGAAAGTATTACAAATTCGAGTCTGACCTTGCAAGAAATGTAGTAAATAAAGTAGCCAGCAGCATTAAGCATTGTAATATAAAGTGTCATGAATGATGTCTGCAATAGACTTGTTTCGAATAATAACGCTAGTGCAATATTGCATGCAGTTATGCAAACCAACAATATCCTGCAAAAAGATTTCTGTTAAGTTCAACTTCTCCTGCTTTCAAAAAGGGTCAAGAAAAATGTTCAATCATTCCGTGCGGTATGCCAGCAGAGTTAAGCCTACTATGTAGTAAACGGAAAAAGTTCCTGAAAAGTGCCATCCAAAAATTTTATTCAGTTCATCTGATAGTTAAAAATAGCAGTGATTATATAAAAAAAGAAGTGATATGATAATGTTATACGACATGTATAGTTCTCAGCTGTGTGTTTAATCTAAAAACGAATGTTAATTAATAAACAAACAATGAAAAACTTACTTCTTCAACCTCAAACTTTTATCCCTTCCGTTTCCTGCGAGTAACTGCCGACAATAAACCAACCATTTCCTCCAGTCTCGTAATGGAATAGATTCTACGAACAAAATTTAATCTGAGTGGAAAAAAATTGCGGAAAACAGCGGACCAACCAAGCTTACTACTTCAGAAATCAAAAAAGTTACCAACAGATGACTGACTGCTAAACAATAAATGATATTGAAAAGCGATAAGCAACAGCAATCCCGATGTAAGAATAATCCATAATGAATAGAAGTTATCTTTTAACATCTGAAATAGTGAGTGTATTTTAACTGCATCGACATATGAAACTGTAAGTGAAGTGGTACTTCGCCACTCAATTATTTTATTTACCGCTTACAACATGAAGGGATCAACAATTCCTTTACAATCCTGCACATCTTTTAGCAAGCAACAATTCTATTTTGTAAGGTAAATAGTATTTGTCATACGAAAATTGTATGATAGACACCATTAAACAAACAGATTGTTTGGCATTAAAAAAGAAATAATAGGGCCCTAAAATATTCAGCTTCAAGCAAAAATTCAGTAAAATGCAAAGGGAAACAAAACAAATACAGAAAGAGAACAAAAAAAGCTTTCAGAATGCTGAATCCTCACGATATATTAGTCATGAAAATTTGTCATCTTGAAAATACAACTTACATTGCTAGTAAAATGGAAAGAAATGGTAAATGAAATTGACTGGAAAATTCCACTTAATGAAATACCGCCACGACGAGCAAAATAGAACCGTACCATTAAAAGAACCAAAGCAATTTCGACAAATAATGTATCTGAAGATGGGAGATTACTTATTTTACTTACTGCATGATATTTCTTTTTCCAAATAGGTTTCGATCCTAAATCAAAAACTTGAAACGCTTTCAAAGCGACTCGTCATTTGTATCATGTATAACTCAAAAAATATCAGGTAAACAACAACAAAAAAAAATTCCCAGCAAATTGACAGCACTATATCGAATAAGTTGAACTAGAGTGAAACAAAACTAAAATGTAAGAAAATACCATTATGAAAAGCTGAAGAATTTGGGCAAATATGATAGAAAGCACTGGCAAAAGCCTCCAAACACATCATTATACCAACATTAAGAAATACATGTGGACAATAACTATATTTAGCATAGCGGCGATACATACAGTACTTATACCTGCAAAAATGATAAATATGTTTAAATTTCATGCACTCATCAATACTTAACCCATGACTAAACTAAAAGGAGCAGTTTACAGGTATAGTATTATGCAATTTACCAATTAATTACATGGTCGTATTAAGAGACAGTCATTCTAACTCTTAAAAAAGCTATTCTTACTTCAATTTATTCCATTCTTTCCTATTAGTTTATCAGATATGCTAACCAGAAACATGGGGAGGTAAGGATAAGGAGTGATAGAAGGAAAATTAAACAAGTTAAATCATAACTCTGATACTCTTTATGTGACTGTTTAGAGATCACACTTTGACATACAATGAGAACACTTCAGTAGTTCTATACACACCTACCGACGGCTGATTAAAATGATGAAAACTAAACCGAGTGAAAAATACCCAATATTACTATACATATGATTAAATGTCTTAAACGGCCCTAATGTAACCGAGCATTCCATATTGTAATAGCAAGCATCCAAATTGTCTTTTATCAACATCAGTTGGTCCTGAAATTTGATTTCTAAATTTGATTGGATATTACGACCGAATTAATTACTAATTAGATGATTAATGTGGTCATTTATGAGTGCCACGAAACTTAATATCTCATTAAACATCCAAGAAATCAAATGGCTGTGGGGCCAATAACTATCATTAAAAGTGTGTATAAAACAACAAAGGAAAGTTTGAAAAGAATGGAAGAGCTCGGTTCCAGTATTTGCGGTGTTGTATACAAAGACCGATTCGAATAAACTGGGATAATAATGGCTGTTAAGGTTGTATTAATTCGATATTCACTAGATACAGCTTCGGTACAAGTTTTGTTGACTAAATAAGCAGTGTTTGAAATAGACTTACCAATAATAATGTATAAAAATATTGAAGCACAACTGGCAACGAAGCACAATAAGGTATATAGGCATTCCAGTTTAAATGAAATACATTCTAAAATATTACGAACATTAAAAGAAAGATGAAAGGAAAAATTTGAATTTCCCAATCAAAAGAAGAAAAGCGCCATAAATATCAGGAAGGAAAAAAAACCGATATAACGGCAATATATTATCATAGTATTCGATTTAACATAGTTCAACATAGTATTTATATTACAAAATATATTTATATTTACTACTTCATTCTCTTATACCCCTTTCTGGTCCTTTCAGTAGTTTAATAGCATGAGTATTTACAGGAACAAAAAATACAACCAGTTTAAAAACATTTTCATCTTATCAAAAACTCACCTCAGAACTTCGCATGGTAATTTCATTAGTATCGGTGCTGATGGAACATTGTTCAGTAGCTTTCAACAATGCGGTATCTGTAAACTGCCGTTCACTCACTCTGCCTTTTCTTGACCGATTATGTGCAATATACAACATTATAAAAATAAGTATGTAATGTATAAAATACGTTATTACTGATACCAATAAAATGCCAAATATAGTCATTAAATTTCGCCAAAGTAATTAGGAAGTTTCATCGCATTTCATTTGACAGAATTTCATGAATAGTTGCAAGTATGACCTTTCATAGGTTGCTGTTTTTCCTTCATTTGAATATCAGCAAGAATATTATGTGAGTTGTTTACAGGTATGATTTCCTGGAAAACTCTTATGGAACAATTTTAAATATTGCGGCAAGCATCATAGCAAATACATAGATGATAGTACGGTTTCTCGATCACTAATCATTTTATATTAGTCATTAATTTTATTTGGAAGCACATAAACCAATTTAAAAGTATTCTGTAACGTCAGATAAAAGCTGAATACAATTAACCTGATGTGAGGAACTTGAAGGTATTCCTGAACTGTCTCCATCTAACAGAACGATCAGCGGTATATCACTTCCGTCCTGACTAAAAAAGATTTCGGTTCTTTCCGAATAAAATGAGAAATGCATGCAAAGTTACATGCAGGAATTAAACTCAACTACAAATATTTCACTAGACTGCACGGGGTTGGAAAACTTATTTTAAAATTCCTATAAAATTTCATTGCAATGCATGGTGTTAATATTGCGCAAAAAAAGGTGCAAAATCGCACTATTGCATGTAATAAAATACTTACCTGTCATGAAGATGTGGCATTAATTGATTGCTTGCAAGAAAGATTATGGTTAATGTCAAATAAAACATTGTCACCACTAACGGACATAATGAAATTGATTCTACGCGACTAAATTTAATATCCAGTTTCTTCCTGCTGTTATACTTCTCTAAATTATTAGTTAATTTCCAAATATATGAATAGCTTGTGTTAAGACTTTGTTTTGTAGTCAGATTCGTTTAAACTAGCAAAGTTATCTATCTACTAGGAGCCGGTCTTCTCACAACATAATGATAACATTTTGGTAGTTCAGGCAATCATTACCAGTGAAATAACTGCAGGAAAGTTTCCGTGCGTAGTAATTTGTACTGCTTTACGATGGACCGCTAGCACTTACATATTCTAATACTTGATAGTTTTTAAGAAATACCGAATGCAAACGCACGATTCGGAGCAAATGTATTGCATGCACGGTCATCATTTACCATCATTACGAAAACATGAAGCGGTGAATTTGCCAGCACTATGAGTGATGCTTTTCGAGTGAATGCCACCCGCATGGAGTACGAAGTATGCATTCCAGAATGCAGAAATGCAGTCTGCAAGTGAACCAGACTAATTACCTACTATTCGAGACTGAAGTACAAAAAAGTGATCAAAGAGACATTGCCATATACTGACCAATTAACACTAGCCAATCAATAGACTAAGATTTGCAAGAAACAAACATTAGATTTCTTTCTACTACTGTACCAAAACTTTATTGTAAGGAATATTGTCACGAATTAATGAATTCGATGAACACGTCCAAACCTACCGAATAGTTTTGAACCACCATAAAAGCACAGGAATTATCGTTACTTTTCACAGCTATCTTAAGCATTCGAACAGAAACATCAGAAATGTGGACTCTGAATGCGATTGGTATTATTGTTGAGATCTTCTGATTCAAAACAGCACGGCTGAATTTCGGCGCACGCAGACTGCAGTAATAAAAAAATCAAACGAAGTTAAATTATACTTTAGTGGAAAAAAATATTCTTAAGGGACAAAATAATTTTTTGCAATGCATAGGAAACTATGAAATCCTTTCAGTCAATTGTGTGGGACACGAAAATTTGTAAATGAGGTAAATGCATATGGCACATATACAAGTAGTCACGTGATTGTGTAAACAATTAATCTGCACTTTTGAAAAATTAATTTCCAAGATGAACTGGAGATCAATAACTGTTAATCTAAAGCTAAAAAAAGTTAAAATTAAAAAAAATTGAAAAAAGAAAAATAATATAAGAATGATATACATGACATTGTATTGAGCTCGATCATAAATTTTGACAAAGATGCTGTAAGTCAAGATGTTGTTTGAATTCGCTGTTACCAAAATGACCAAATAAATAGATCTATTATCAAAAGATGGTCCCACAGTTTCCACATCCAGGCCAGGTAATATCACACCATCTTCTATACCACCACTTCTATAAAAATGAAAAATCCCTCAAGAGAATCTATAAAAGAGTTCAAACATTAATTCAGCTGTGAACCTGCTGATCTGTGAACTACCTCTCGTAAGATACGGTAACCCGACTTTCTTCAGTGTAAAAATTCTACGGAAAAGATAAAAATAAAAATTACAAAAGACCACCGGAAACATATGGTAGAATTAGTCGAGCCTTCGGTGTTAGGTTTATATGTAGATTTCAAAAATATTTAATTCTTTCAAGAGCATATAAACGGTCGACTGCTCCTGTTATACTTAGGAAGGCCCGTAGGAGAATTCAGGTTCATTCCCAGACAAACGTTATGGCTAATGCAGATTCGATTTGGCTCGAAGATTCAATCAGAAAGTGAAATATGGAACTTACTCGGTTGGTATTGCAAATGATATAGCATCGAATGAACGCTGACAAGTTACTTGCAGCAATTTACCAATGCCCATGGACCTGTTGACATCATGTAAGCGTATGTGGATTCGTAATAGATCTAACTAGACAGAGAACTTAAAATAATTCATTCCTCAAAATAGATATTGATTAATACTATGTTAGAGGGGGAAATTTCTGTCCGTCTGACGGCACACTGTCATCTATACTATTTTATTATTCGAAACATAACCACAACAGTAACAAATGCCTGCACAAAATAATTCAATGAATACAATGATATGCTATTTATATGTGTATTAATTCTAGTTTAATCGCAATTCTTTACATTTCAAAATCCCTGAAAGAGTTGAGAATTTTCTTATAGGAAATACTCACCATATTCGATTGTTCAAAATTTGTGTAATGGATGTTAAAATGACTTTTCCTTATTGTGCCATTAATGCTTGCGGACTTACGCAGGCTGAACGGGAAATTTCGGACGTCACCGTTCCCCAGTTGTGGAGGTGAGTCAGATATATTGTTGCATATCACACCAGCAAAATACAAGACAAATAAAAGTATCATTGAGCGGCTGAAAAAGCATCTCTGTTCAGAATTATTTCAAGAAACTTAAGTTCAAGTTATTTAAAATTTAAATTCCAAATAAGTGATATAAAGTGAAATTTTTACGTGATTCATCGCCAATACAATGCAAATTGAATTAAGGAGCGCGGAGGGATCATGTGTCATCGATTAGTCTGTGACTAAGACGTGTTGCTCAATGGTTTCGTTGTAAATAACATTTCGTTGTATCATCCACTACCATGGTTTAGGAAGAATGCCTTGACGAAGTCAATGGATTACGAGGGTACGGTGTTCTGTGGAGCACCAACCAGAAAGCTAAATCAATGTCAAATCTCAACTTAAATCAGCTTTTGGTCAATGTCGGTATCTTGTAAAGAATTTCAGGTCAACATGGGGTCAAACGTTTGGTGGTTTAAAGTTTTTCATTGCAACTAAAGAATGAAATTAGAGAGACAACCGAATTAGAATGTCGTGCGATCCCCGAACGTTTTATTCCACTGATTGATAATTAAGCTCTCATATAACTGAGAGAAATTCTCCCGTGCTTATCTTTTCCCTTTATCTGATGTGATATAATTCCCATTTACACTCTCTTTCCATAGCAATACAAGGAAATATGTGGGAAGATTCCCTGAAATGGAGAGAGGTGTCGCGAATTCCGATTCGCGAGACTCCAACCATACCCCAAACAAACAAATTTCTTACTACAAATAAATGTTAATAGTGTAAATCATTTAACCAATTTACATTCTTTAAAATTATCTCCCATACATTCCTCCTGTTATCATTGTCCAGCGGAAATCACATCT